CAGTTTAAGATAATGGGTTTTAGGGAAGTTGGAAGTTGAAGATTATTGCTGGGATTAGGGTGTTCCTGCTGCTTGTTCCCGTTGAGTTCTCGTGAGATTCAAATGGGATTTGGAGATAGCCTCGTGGAGTAGGTGGTTTGTGCGGGAGACAGGAGAACGTGTTTGCCCCTGGACCTGTGTGGAGGCGGTGTGAGAGCGGGAATAAAGAATTGCTGTTTGAACCTACAAAGCTGTGAGTGCCTCGTGATTCTGGTGCCAAGCCGAGACATTGGCCTTGGCACACAGTTTCCAATGATTAAATCACCCTCATCACACCCTATCAAACTAAAATCCCCTCTGTAACCAACAGCCATTTTTGCATCCAGAAAATGAGTCCCAGTGTTGCCTGAGTCTGCAAATGAATAAACAGCTTCCCTGAGTCTGCTGAGGTCTGCATCATTTTGCGTTTATAAAAGCTACAGGAAAGTAATATAGAGTTTATGCTGTTGTAACAAATACATAAAAATGTTGAAGTGGCTTTGAAATTAAAAAATGGGTAGAAGGCTAGAAGAATTTTAAGATGTATCATAGAAAATCTTAGAATTCCTTGAATTGACTGTTAGTAGAAATAAGGATGTTAAAGATGCTTCTGGTGAGAACTCGGACAGAAATGAGAAACATACTATCAAAAACTAAAGAACAGGGCAAAGGATATGAATAAACATATGTCTCAAGAGAAGACACAAATGGCCAATGTGAATATGAAAAAAATAATCAGTATCACTACTTATCAGAGGAAATGCAAATTAATACTACAGTGACTTGGGTGTGGTGGCCCATACTTGAAATCCCAGTGTCTTGGGGAGCAAATACAGGAAGACTGTGAGCTTGAGACCAGCCTCCACAACTAAATGAGACTCTCAAAAATAAAAAGTAAGAAAATCTGGAGATGTTACTCAGGGGTAGAGTGCCCCAGTATTCGGTTCCCAGGACAAAAAAATTGAGCAAAACAACCTCATAATGAGATATTACCTCATACCTTTTAGGAAGGATATGATCAAAAAAAAAAAAAGCAAAAACAAAAACAAAAACAAAAAAACCAATAAGTGTTGGCAAAGAGGTGGAGAAAATGGAACCTTGTACACTATTGGTGGGAATACAACTTAGTATTCATGCTTTGAATATAACTCTTGCTGCTCTGCCACTGTGGCTTATTTTAAAACTGACATTTTTTTTCCTTTCTCTTCTCCCTTTCATCATCCTTAATCCTGTGTAAAGCAAGACTACCCTTATTCCCATCATAGGCCAAGTTACTTGTCCTGATGATCTAAGAAATGGCTCTCTCTCAAATCTACAAGTGAACTTGACCCGACAAGGCACACTTGGAATGTAGCCTTTGCATCACCTCTTTAAAAGCCCTCTGTTCCCTCTAATGGACAGAATCACATCTGGGACAGGAGCCCCCTATGTTTCTCCTTTGTGAGCAAAGCAATAAAACTTCTTTTTTTCCTTTTTCTCAAAACCATGTCCTCATTATTGGAGTGGCATCAGGGACAAGGACCAACCTTTCCATAACACAAAGATTTAATGTGTGGTTCTGGTGGAAGTTGTGAAGAGGAGGCAAAGGAACTGAAATCAGTATGTCAGAGATGTCTGACCCCCATGTTTGTTAGCATTATTTACAATAGCCAAGATATAAAATCAGTGTAAGTACTCATGAACACATGAATGGATAAAGAAAATATGGTTCACATACGCAATGGAATATTATTCCTTCATAAAAAGAAAAAAAATTTGTCATTTGCAGCAAGAGGGATAGAACTGCAGGACATTATGTTACATGAAATAAGCTAGGAACAGAAAGACAAATATCACATAATCTCACTCATGTGTGGAATCCAAAAATGTTAATCTCAAGGAAGTAGGGAGAGTAGAATGGTGGTATTCAATTGGATTCAATTGTAGTCATTTTAATTATAGCCCTTCCCTTTGCCTGCCCTAACTTTAAATCACATAGATTATACCCAGAGTCCTCCAGTCAGGGCAAAAAACAAATAGGCAGACTGCCTGCCCAAGTGTACTTGCTAGCCACGTTCTATAGCACATCCTTCTGTCAGAAGAAAAGTTTGCTTTGCCACCCACTTACATAAGCATTGATTTCTTGTGCCACCTCTGTATTTCTAACACTAGGGACAAGGGTGGTTAGGGATAGGGCTTGGGGGATGTTGATCAGAGGATAAAATTTTTCAGTTAGACAAGAAAAATTAATTCAGGAAATACATTGCACAACATGGTGACAATAATTAGCAATATACTATAGTCTTAAAAATGCTAAGGGAATGGATATAAAGTGTTCTCACCACACAAATGGTAAATATGTGAAGTGATGCATATGTTAATTAGCTAGATTTAGTCATTCCACAATGTATATATGCTTCAAAATAATCTATCAAACATGGAAAATAAAATTTTATTAATTAGAAAAATAATTTTACAAATGAATTATTTATTTTTTACTTCAATTTATTTGTTTTAGTTAGGTTTCCCACAAGATTTTTTGAACATATACTGTAGACTTCTAACTTCTTAGCCAAGTAGGAAAGAAAGAAACTAGCACTGGAGACCAGTCTCTGTTCCCTGCCACAGAGTTACAGTTACCATCCCTCCTGAGTGCCCATCTCAGTGTCTACTCTAGAAAAATAATTTTTAAAAAGGAATAAAATTGAAAGGCAGTCTCATGACCCTTTCCTGACATCACTGCAACTTGTAGCCTCCATTGTCATATATCTCCTTGTCTTGTGTAGTAAGCTCTCCCCCTGCCTCCAAGGATACATGTGATTGCATTTAAGGCCCAGCCAGATAATCCAGGATAATCCATCCACCTCAAAATCCTTATTTTAATCACACTTAAAAAAGTATTTGCTGTATTAGATAACATTTACAGATTCCAGGGATTAAAACCTGATATTTGTGGGGACCATTATTTACCCTGGAAGAGTTTGGATTGGAGATGAGAACACACTCAAGTATGAGTCCCAGTTTGATATTATTACTAGATCTATAACTTTGGGAAAATATTTATTTTTACATTTGTAAATTGGGAAATTATAGCCTAAGATTCAGCCATTCTTTGAATTGAGAAAGGTTCAAGAGGTTGGGAATATGCCACAAGAGGTAAGACTTCTGCATGAGTGACTAAATGCCTTAGGGACCTGCATAGATGGATCAGGTATCAGCGATCAAGCCATAGATTACAGGTCTTTGAGAAGAGCTCAGAAATCTGAGATAACAAAAACCTTGTCTTCCAAGAGAGTTCACAAGAATTCAGTTCACCCAGACTTAAGTTCCAAGAGGCAGTTTAAGGCCTTTTGTGAACCTGGAAGAGGCAGGGCAAGTGGAGGGGGCTGGATGACAATAGGCTTAGAGCTGAAAAGGAAGAATTTTCAACTAACAAGGGTTTCATAACCTAAGCTGGCAGTGAAAACCAGATAGATGATAGCAGAGAGGAAGAGGAGGTAGCTAGGGAAAACAGCTCTATACCACTTCCCAGTCCAAATTCTTTGCAACAGCTGTCTGGTTGTTATCTTATTAGTACCTCACAATAATGGCTTATAGCAGAGGATGAATCTCAAGTCCAGGATAGTTCCCTAACTCGGACTTTAAAGTTTTCTCCTTGACAACTTTCTACTGTGTATGTGTACCCTCATTTGTGCTACTCCTGCAATAACAAACCCTTCTCCAGGGGAAGGGCTTCTGGTCAGAATCTGAGACACTCAGGCTCCCACACTGGACTTCATAATTAGAAAACATAATGATCTGTCTGAGTCTTGGAAGTTTGAGGGGAAAGGACAAAGGATAAATAGTCATCTGAGGTAAATATCTTAAAACTTAGTTTGCATACAAATTATGTGAGGATTTTTTTTAAACAAAATCCTTTTTAACAAAAGCATATTCTGATTCAGTGGAGATGGTTTTGCTTCCTGAATACGGAGCCAATCACTTAGGGGAATTGCCAGTCACTTGGAGAGAGGAGGGATAGTGCCTCAGGTTCCAAAGAAGGAAGCTTTCACCTTCAAGATTGGAACACGTGCAGGTCTCACATCCCAAAGGGGCAGGGATGGAGAGGTGGGAAGGAGAAAAAGGAAGAGAGAGGGAGTGAGAGTGGGTGTGTATGAATGCTGCTCTGAGATTGGATGGCATATTTTCAAACTGGTGGCTGCCAGGGACTCAAAAGTGGCCAAGATTCTAGGGGACCTCAGACTCTCCTAGACCTCCTAGTAGGAACCATGAACTGGCAGTTCCAGGCCACTTGTCTTTTTCCGTTGTTCCTGATTGGCTTCTGTCAGGAGATCCTGAAGCCACAAATGGTGAAGGTGGGTAACCCACAGGGGATCCAGGCTGATTTCAACATGTGAAGACTAACTTGGTTGCAAGAGATGTTAGGAATTCTCTCCTCTCCTTGAAGGATGAGATCCCCCCTCCAAACCTTTCTTTGCAGACTTTTGCCACATCTCTCCTGCCTTATGTGTTTTACATATATTTTCTCTGCACCCAGTAACTCTTTGAGCAGAATATGGGTGAGCCAGGCAGTGCATGAAGTCTGCCTCCAGTGCATTCTCTTTTGCCACTTTCCCCTGGTGCTCTTTGACAGACCCTCACTTGTCCCTTTCATACTGGTCTGTAACTGAGAGGCAGCCCTATGGATCTCAGGAAAAAAAAAAAAAGCATAAAATAGCAAATAGACTGGGAGGGAAACTGAACTTGTTGCTCTTGGAGAGACTTTTGGACCAGAAACCCAGAGGGAAAACATGAAGAAGTTGCTATTGGAATGCTCCAGGAGATTCAGGGTCAGGAAAAAAGTAATTTTTCTTCAGGGGATAATAAAGAATACTAATAAGAAGAAGGACAGGGTAGTTTTCTGTTAACTGATATTAGGAAAGGTTATATGCTGAGGTGGTGAAAAGGCTTAGCTTGGAGTAAGAGAACTTTTTCTTAGATCTTGGTGCTGCTCCAAGTTGCTTGATGTTATTCAGGAAAGTCCCCACAATGGTAGCCACCACTGTGAATGTTGTATATGTGTTCACAGATGTAGGGTGGAGATCAAAGTTGATGACTTGAGATCCAGAATTTTAAAATCAGACAAACTCTTTCAAAAACTGGGTCCCAGAAGTGGAGATGTGGCTCACTGGTAGAGCTCTTCTCTAGCATACAAACTCTCAGTACCAACAAAACAGAACAACAAAACCTCAGCCTCATTTGTGGCCTTAGGCTAATTACATATCTTTTGTTGGCTTCTTTCTCTCCTTTGTAAAAGGTGAACAATGCCTATCCTATAGTGCAATGATCCCCAGACTTAGCTCAAAAAGACTTACCTAGAGAGCTTGTTGCACAGGTGGTTGGGCTCCAACCCAAGAGTTTCTGATTGTTTGTCTTGGGGGGAAACAGGATTTGTATTTCTAAAATGTTCTCAGTTGATACTTGTGCATGTCCTCACACCTGAGCTTTGGGTTTGATCTGTTTTGAACTCCATATGAAGTCTAAGATGATGCTATAAAATGTTTAAAAATTGCAGCTATAGGAAGATCACAGCATATCTTCAAGTGAGGGCACAGTCTACTGTTAAGGGCATCCAGCTACTGGTGCAGGTGAAATTCCTGAGGTAGAAAACTGTCTTGTAAATGAAAGACTGTGTTCTAGGGTTTCCTGACTCTTCAAAATGGTGCAGAACTGAAAACTGGACAGGAAAGATGGAGCCTTTCAAATTGGCAATTTTCTTGGGATTCTACATGCCAGTTCATAGGATGATAAACAAATTTTGAAAGTTGTCGAGTCCAGAGCAAAGGTAACAAGAAGGCAAGGAGGATAGAGGCACATAAAAGACAGTACACAGAATGATTTCCAAGTGACTTTTTCTTACTTTATTTTTTTTTATTTTTTTATTTTTTTTTAAAGAGAGAGTGAGAGGCAGAGGGGGACAGAGAGAGAGAATTTTAACATTTATTTATTTTTTTCTTAGTTCTTGGCGGACACAACATCTTTGTTGGTATGTGGTGCTGCTGAGGATCGAACCCGGGC